ATCTTTGATCCATTTAGATTTTATTTTAGTATATGGTGACAGGCATGGGTCTAGTTTTAGTTTTTGGCATATGGAGAGCCAGTTTTTTCAACACCATTTATTAAAGAGACTGTCATTCTTCCAGTGAACATGTTTGGCCCTTTTATCAAAGATAAGGTGGTTGAGTGTGTTTGTAGTTGTGGTTGTATCTTCTCATCTATTCCACTGATCTCCAGCTCTGTTTTGATTCCAGTACCATGTTGATTTTACTACAGTTGCTTTGTAGTATAACTTCAAGTCAGGGATTGTGATGCCTCCTGCCTTGCCTTTGCTGCTTACAACTGTCCTTGCTATTCTAGGTCTCTTCTCACTCCAGATGAATTTTAGGAATGATTTTTCGGGATCTATGATGTATGTTGATGGTATTTTTATTGGGATTGCATTGAATTTGTATAACAGTTTTGGGAGAATGGCCATTTTCACAATATTTATTCTTCCTATCCATGAGCAAGGGATGTTTTTCCATTTTCTGAGATTATCTTCAATTTCTTTTTTCAGTGTATTATAATTTTCCCTGTATAGGTCTTTCACTTCTTTTGTGAGAATAATTCCTAAATATTTCATTTTTTTTGGTTGCTAGTGTGAAGGGTGTGGTTTCTCTTATTTCTCTCTCTCTGATTTTGTTGTTAGTATATAAGAATGCTATTGATTTTTCAGTATTGATTTTGTATCCAGCCACTTTGCTGAATTTGTTTATTATATCTAGGAGTCTTTCAATGGAGTTTTGGGAGTCTTCTATGTAGAGTATCATATCATCTGCAAATAGTGATAATTTAACTTCTTCTTTTCCTATCTTTACCCCTTTTATTTGTCTCTCTTGTCTAATTGCTCTGGCTACTATTTCCAGTACTATATTAAATAGGAGCAGTGACAGGGGACATCCTTGTCTTTTGCCTGATTTTAAAGTAAAGGCCTTCAATTTTTGGCCATTTAGTATGATACTGGCTGTTGGCTTGTCATAGATGGCCTTTATTATGTTGAGTTAAAGACCGTCTATTCCAATTTTCTGCAAGGTTCTTATTATAAATGAATGTTTTACCTTATCAAAAGCTTTTTCTGCATCTATAGAAATGATCATGTGATTCTTACTTTTGACTCTATTGATATGATGGATTACATTTATTGATTTACGTATGTTGAACCATCCCTGTATATATGGGATGAATCCCACTTGGTCATGGTGTATAATCTTCTTGATGATTTGCTGCATCCTATTTGCCAATATTTTATTGAGGCTTTTTGCATCTGTGTTCATTAGGGAGATTGGTCTGTAGTTCTCTTTTTTAGTTGGGTCTTTCTCAGGTTTTGGTACTAGAGTAATATTTGCTTCTAGGAATGACTTAGGAAGGATTGCTTCCCTTTCAATTTCATTGAATAGTTTGAGGAGTGTTGGCATTAGGTCTTCTTTGTATTTCTTGTAGAATTCTGCAGTGAATCCACCTGGGCCTGGACTCTTCTTTGTAGGTTATGACTTAATTACATTTTCAATTTCATTGATAGAAATTGTGTTATTCAGCAGTTTTAGATCTTCTTGACCTAGCATTGGTACTTCATATGCTTCTAGAAATCTGTCTATTTCTTCTGTGTTATCAAACCTTTGAGAGTAGAGGTTTTTGATATAGGTGTTGATGATCTTCTGTATTTCTATTGGGTCTGTAGTAATTTCACCTTTTTCATTCCTTATTACATGAATTTGAGCTTTTTCTTCCCTTTTTAAAATAAGGTTAGCTAGGGGCTTATTGATTTTATTTATTCTTTAAAAGAACCAACTCTTTGATTCATTGATTTTTTGGATTGTTTTCTTAGTCTCTATTGCATTGATTTCTGCTCTGATATTTATTATTTTCTCTCTTCTTTTGGCTTTGGGCTTTTGGCTTTGCTCTGCTTTTTCTAGATGTTTGAGGTGTTGCATCAAGTTATTTATTTGTATTTGTTCTGTTTTCCTGATGTGGGAACTCAGTGCAATAAATTTTCATCTGAGGACAGCTTTCATTGCATCCCACAGATTCTGGTAAGTTGTATTTCTGTGTTCATTTGTGTGAGGGGCAGTTCACTAAGATTTTATCCCTTTTTGTGGGTTTTCTTTTCACTATGCTGGAGATTTCTTTTGACATGCAGAAACTTTTTAATAAGATGTGATACTAGCTATTGATTCTGGGAAGTATTTCCTGTGCAGTTTGATTGCTGTTCATGAATTTTCTATCTACCACTATGTCTTCAAGATTTTTACCCAATTTGTCTTCCAGTAGATTTAGTGTTTATGTTTTAATATTCAGATCTTTGACCCACTTAGATTTTAGTTCGGTACATGGTGATAGGTATGAGTCTAGTTTTAGTTTTTGGCACATGGAGAGCAAGTTTTTCCAGTGCCATTTATTAAAGAGACTGTTGTTTTTCCAGTGAACATGTTTGGCCCCTTTATCAAGGATAAGGTGGTTGAGTGTGTTTGTATCTTCTAATCTATTGCATTTATCTTCAGATCTTTATTACTTCAGCACCATGTTGATTTTATTACCATAAACTCTTATATACTTAGCTTTGTAGTATAACTTCAAGTCAGGGATTGTGATGCCTCCTGCCTTGCCTTAGCTGCTTAGAATTGCCTTTGTTATTGTAGGTCTCTGCTGGTTCCAGATAAATTTTAGGAGCGATTTCTCTAGATCTATGAGGTATGTTGATGGTATTTTCATTGGGATTGCATTGAGTCTGCATAACAATTCTGGAGAATGGCCATTTTCACAGGTATTATTTAGTTCTGTCCTGCTTTGTTCTGTTTTTCCCTCTAATATAGAAAAGATAGAAATACATGTTAAGACTCATGCTTGCGTAAAACCTATAAACAGTTTATGAGAACTGATCTTATGACACATGGTGAAATGAAGAAATACTTTGAAGGAAAGAAAGGGGCACTGCAGTACCCAGTGCTGATTCCAGAGTGTTATGATGTGAAATCCAGCAATATTATTAATCTTTGTTCAGAAGAATTTTAATCTAATAAGTTTTATTAGGTCTCAACATAAATGAAGATATGGATAAATGTGTACATGTCTAAGTGTATTGAATTGATAGCCACATTACTTAGTTTTTGTTGCATAGTGGAACAGAACTGTTTGCAGTCTCCCTGGTTGAATTCCCATTTATATGTTCCACTTTTGTATCTTGAACAACTATTTGTGGGAGGACAATATGTATACATCAACTACTGATTTATTACTGTTTATTTCTTTTCTTTGAAAGTATGTACTATTTCTTCCCATTTTCTATTTTTTTTGTCTTTCTTTAAATAAAAAAAGAATCAATCTGATTAAGGTGGTGAAACAACTCTAAGCACAGTGTTGTTGTTGTTCCCAATGGTGCTCTTGAACTAACACGGTGAGCTTTCTGCACCATAGAGCACACCTGTCTCCACCAGGCCAAGATGATGTGATCAGAGGTAAAGGATCTATGGGGCTGGGTTCCCATGAGTATTAGGCTAAGCATTGAGTAGGTATTACTAGGTTCTGCTTCTCTTCTCATTGGGGAAGGAGTCAATGGTACACTGATATGGATGGGGCTTTGCACATGGAAGAACACTGTCTTCTACTGGTTCTGCACCAATGAGAGCTCTGAATATAGGTGTTGTGACATTCCTCCTCCTCTGCACCCTATGCCATTGTTGGATCCCAAGGGCAAGAAACACCTGCTTAATCCAAGCACTGATTTTCATTTGACCTACTAGCTTTTAAAAGGCTACCTTAAAATGACATTTGAATTATCATCTTTCAAGACAGTTCAACCAAAACTTTCTGATTTCTGTGGTGCACATAACTGGAAGCAGTTTTTTATTTTGATATGTATTTTATTTAATAAAGACAAAAATTTAAGAAACATACAGGAAAAATAAGACAGAGGTTTGTGTTTTTTAGTGAAATCAGCTAGCTTACAGCCAATGACACCAAAGAAGGGAGTCAGTGCTCCTTTTTAAGCACTGCCTATTTTTGTGGCATCAATGATGCTAAAGGAAAATGTAATGTGTCAATGTTCAGTAACTCCCAAAAAGGACCTTGAGGCTGGCCTCAGTTCTTGTTGAGGTGACACCTGCAACTCATCTACAACATGTCCTGGCCACTTACAGTAGCAAGGATGGCTTTCCCCTCTCTCTCCCCTCCTGTCCTTGAATGAACTTAGTAGTAATTAGTCATTATTTCCACTGTTTCCACATGCACCCAAGAATGGTGACCTCCTCTTTTCATGGTTAAGGGAGCTGGACAAAATTTTTTCCCTCAGGAACAAATCCTGCTTTGTGTGGTAAGCCCTAGAATAGATAGGTGTGCCAATGGAGAGGAGAAAATCTTGGTCTTGTTCTCATAGGTGGAAAAACATCAAGAGGAATGAAATACTCAGGAACAGCTGATCCTACTAACCAGGAAACACTTTTGTTCAAAGTTGTGATTTTGGTTGTACACATGAAATCTTGTGATTTTTCTACTAGTGCTTTTCTACTCCTGAAAGCAAATAACAGCTTCTTAACACTTGATCAGACACATTAGAGAGACTGGAGAACAATCAGAGGATGACTGGACTCTGATGAAGAAATAAGGGCATTCCTGGAGAAGGGTCATGTAGGAGGTATGATCTCAGGATGCTGTCCATGAGAGGCAGCCATCAGTCCAGGTTAGAGAGTGTTGGGGAAGCAAGAAGTTATCTTACAGAATGAGATCCCTAAATGCAGAAAGAGTGTTGCAATGTAGAAGAGGCTCCCTAAAGTAGTTTGGAGGAATAATGGGGTTCAATTCTATTTCCTGTAAATGACTGACATTTCTATCTGATGAATTGTTTCTCTGGAGTCATGGGGTGATCCTGGTGGGTTTACTCTGGATTTATAGTGGATGTATTGAAATTATTACTGCATATTTTAAATTTTATAAAGAAAAAACAATAAAAGATACAAAATTTCAAATCAAGATAATAGGAGAGTAACATTGGTTAATATATTTTGCATTGTTATCTTGAAAATAGTTGTCTAGATTACAAGATATAGGCTTGAAAAATTCATCAAACAATATAAACACAAACATTTCAATGAACTAAGAGATTAGTAGTATAACTATTATGCATATGCATTTTTTTCCTTTCCCAATCCCAATTTCTCTCCTTTACAATGTTTTCTTTTCATTTTGCAATACCTATTATACATTTTGGATCTTATTTACTCTTTAAAAAATTTCTCACAATAGAGAGACAATATTATGTTTACACATGCAAGTCTGATTTATTTCACTATTATTAGTATGGTCTCAATTTGCATCCATTTACCTATAGAAGTATCAGATTTGGCCATATGCCAGGGGTGTGCCCTGGGTAGCTGTGTGGGTCCTGGAGATTCTGAACTCCACCCACCTAGGCACAAGACCCTGGCAGCAAACTTCAGGGGTATGTTCTTGCTAGTTGTGTGGAGAATCTGAGCTCTGCCCAGCCCAATGTCTCAGTGCAATCCACTGTGGGAATACCCAGCCAGCATCACAGTTCACAGAGGTACCAAGCCCTGCTCAGCCCTAGAGACTTCAAACTCTGCCCATCACAGCTATTGGGTGCATCCAAGCTAGCCACCTGGGTCCTTAAAGCTCTGAATCCACACATCCAGGTGCAAGTCCCTGGCACTATACTCCAGGGTTGAGCCCTGGCTAGCTGTGTGGGTTATGGAGGTTATAACTCCGTCCATCCAGGTACAAGGCCCTAGCACTGAACTCTATGGGTGTATCTCTGCTAGCTGCATGGAGGATCTGAGCTCCATTCCCCAGCATCCCAAGGCAATCCATCTGGGGAAGGCCTGGTAAGTCTTATAGGTCACAGAGGTACTGAGCCCTGCCCAGCCCATAGCCCCAGAGCCATCCATCAAGGAGTGATCATCCTAGCCAATGGGTCCTGGAGATGTTGAGCTCTTCCCATCACAGTGTGAGGCTCCAGTGCCATAGTCCAGGGATGTGCCCTGGCTCTCCACATGGATATCAGATGATTGTAGCTCTAGTGTAGCATTCCAGTGAAATCCATTGGAAGGGTGCCTGGCCTGCTGTAAATGTCCTAGAAGAAAAGGACAAAATGAAACAACAATATGCACCCTCTGTCCTCTAGTGCACTGAGAATAAACCCAGGAGATAGTGAAATGGAAGAAGTTCGCACAACTGAACTTTCTGAAATGACAGAAACTGAAGTAAAGAAATAACTCCATGAAGCTATAGAGGAAATCAGAGCAGAAATAATCTCCCAGGTAAAAAAAGAGATGGCAAACATTATGAAAAAAATGTTGAGTGTATCTACAGAAGATCTAGATAAGGAATATAGGAACATAAGAAAATGATGGAAACCTTGAATGAACAATATAAAACAGAGCTAGAATGCATGAAACAGATTCAAAGGGATATTCAGGAAATTAAACATTGCATTACTCTTAGACCTTGAAGACATGATTGAAGCTTATGATCATGAAAAAAACCTTAAAATTAGCAAAGAACCAGCAAATAACAATTCAACAGCTGAAAGATGATACAAAAAGAAACAATATAAGATGGATGGGTATCAACAAAAAAATCAGGGATCAACACAAATGACTATTTTCAAAGAATTAATGAGTTGAAGAGTTGTTTTTTGAAAGAATAAATAAAATTAATGTCTCTAGCTAGCCTTATCAAAAAGAGGAAATAAACCACTCAAATTCAAGTAATAAGGAATGAAAAGGATGAAATCACTACCGACTCTGTGGAAATACAGATCATTAATACCTACTTTGAAAAACTTTACTCTTACAGGTTCTTTTTTCTATTTAAAGAGAAAGAAACAAAAAATACATGGATTTAAAAAGGGTAGAAATAATTCAGAATTACAGAAAAATAAATGGTAAGAAATCACCAGTTGATAAGTTACATATTGTCATCTTAGAAGTAGTTGTTCAGGTTACAAAATTAAAGTATACAAAGTGACATTCAAATAATGATACTGCAAACAGTTCTGCTCAATGATCCAACAAAAACTTAGTAATATGGTTATCATTCCTACACACTTGTTTTTTTTATCTTAAAGAGGGTAAGATTAAACATGACAAAACAGAACAAAACAGTTCATAAGGAAACAATGTAAAGAAACACAGATTTAAAAGCAAGTCCACTGGAGATCTTCACGTCTATCTTGTTATCTCTAGTTTTCTTCCAAATAGTTGTCCCCATCTTCACACACATTAAAGGCATACTGCATATTATAGAACTAATCAAATCATTACAGGATGATGAAGGCTTTTTAGGTCTTCAAGATCTGACATTGGGAAAGACAATAATAACTACCATAGTGTCTCTCATTCTCTTTGTAGTAGCTGTCCTTATCTTTACATATACTGAAATTGAACTTAAGAGGCTAGACTAATATCACTCTGATCAGTGAATAATAGTATTGCTAGATTTTATATCATAGTGCTACAGAATTAGCATTGGGTTTCTTAGTGTCTCTCCTTTTTCTTCAAAGTATCTGTTGATTACATCTTGCACTATATAATCTGTTCCAGTAAATAGTTTTAAAAAAATCTTCTCATGTGTGAATTTCTACATGTATATCTAATCCTCTCTGTATTATAGGGAAAAACAAATCATAACAAGACAGCAAAACAAATTCCTAGAAAAACATGCAATGAAAAAGACACATAAGACCACAATATTAGGTGATCTACTGTATTTACTATGCTTTCTCTTGTTATTTTCAATAGACTTGTTCACATCATCAGGCTTAATATAGTTAATCATAGTATTACATAGCTATTTTTATAAAAACACAACTTTGAAAACATTGTAGGACTTGAGAGCTGTTAATAATCAGTACCAGTATGGGTATCTTTTACATCTTGTCATCTTCAGAGTAGTTGCCTCTACTTTTAGGGTTGATACTATCAAGCATACCAAATTCAAATAAACTCAGCCAAGGCAAAACTGCGGTCTAATGAGTCAGATTCAAGTAAGATCAGTCATAGTAAGACAATGTAAGTAATACAGGGTTTCAGTTTAAATTAATAGGAAATTAAGGATAGTTACCATGGTATAACCTGCTATTTTTGGGTCAGATGTCTGTGCCCTCAAATCTGATATGAGTGACAGACCAGAACAAATTAAATTCAAACTAAACAGGGCAATAAGACTACTGTGTCTTTTAAATCCTAATACACTATTAACAATTACCTCTGCCTTTTTTATAGTGTATCACAGCTATCTATACTAAAGATTATAACTTACCATCTCTGCCTCATGTCTGCTACCCCACTTTACTGCTATAATTTGTCCACCTTACTCCCTCATTCCACTGTCTGCTCCGTTCATTGAGGCCTCTCTGCCACTGTTGCTGGAATCCTGGTATCCCTTCCTCTATTTCTCTGGAATGTCCTTCAGCACTCTCTGTAGGGTTGGGTTGGTGGCCACGAACTCCCACAGTTCCTCCTTGTCTTAGAAGCATCTTATTTCTCCATTAATTTTGAGAGAGAGTTTTGATGGGTATAGGAGTCTTGGTTGAAAATTATTTTCTTTCAGGACTTGGAATATTTCTGCCCATTTCCTTCTTGATTTAAGAGTTTGTGTTGATAAGTCTGTTGTTATTTTGATAATTTTCCTGTTGTAGGTAATCTGCTTCTTTTCTCTGGCTGCTTTTAATATTCTGTTCTTTTGGTGGATTTCTGGAATCTTGAGTATTATATGTCTGGAGTAGATCTGGTTTTTTTTTTTTTTTTTTTTTGTCTTTTTCGTTTTTACCGGTACCAGGGATCGAACTCACGACTGCCTGCTTGCAAGGCAGGTGCTTATGCCGCTGAGCTAAATCCCCAGCCCCAGTAGATCTGTTTTGGTTGGACGTAGCTAGTGTGCTGTATGCCTCTTTTATCTGGATATCATTTCTTTTTGCTATACATGGGAAATTTTGCTTTAATATATCTGTGAATATTCTTTGTATTTCATTTTTGGTTGCTCTTGCTTCCTCACTCACATGCTTTATTTTTAAGTTATGTATCCTTTTGTCATCTTCTAGCCTTTGAATTGTTTCTTTCTGGTTCTTTGTTATTTTTAAAAGGCCCTTTCTTTCACAATCATATATCATAAATCTCTCTTCAAGTTTCAAAAGGCTAACTTTAGTTTCTGTCAAGGCATTTTGCCAGTGTTCAATGGAATTTTTAGTTTCTGGTAATCTCTTTGGATCTGTTTCATGTATTCTAAGTTATTTTTAAATTTTTCAGAAGTTTCTCTTTCTTTTCTGATTTCCTCCATTCTTCCACCTGTGTTCTCTTGGGTGGGGCTTATCATTTCTTTAATTAATCTCTTCATATCTTGCCTCACTTGGATCAGGAGTACAGCTTTAAATTCATCTATGAGTTCATGGAGGTATTTTTTATTTCAGCTGATGCTGTGTCCAGTATTGGATGGTTACTGTGCTTGTTCTCTTCTGTGTTTACTTCTCCTGGGCTTATTTTCTCATGTTGGGAAGCTGGTGATTTTTATTATTTCTATCTTTTCCTCCATCCCCACCTCCCATGGTCCTCTTATGTTGTCGTCACACAAGGCCCCACCTCCTCCTCTTATTGGTTCAATAACAGAAGAAATGTACAGATTCCTAGAAACATATGAATTACCAAAGCTGGGTCAAGAAGATGTAAAACTGCTGAATAACCCAATTTCAGTTAATGAAATTGAAAATATAATTAGAACCTTACCAATAAAGAAAAGCCCCAGTCCTGATGGAGTCACTGTTGAATTCTACAAGAAATTCAGGAAAGATTTTATGCCAAACTTCTCAGATTCTTCAATGAAAATGAAAGGGGAGCAAGTTTCACTAATTCATTCTTGGAAGCAAGTATTATCCTACTACCAAAACCAGAGGAAGATCCAACCAAAAATGAGAACTACAGGCCAATCTCTCTAGTGGACATAGATGTAAAAATCCTCAATAAAATATTGGTAAATAGGTTGCAACAAATAATCACGAAGATTATATACCATGAATAGATGAGATTCATCTCAGGAATGCAGGGGTGGCTGAACATTTGCAAATCAATAAATGTAATACACCATATCAACAGAGCCAAAGACAAGAATCATGTTATCATCTCAATAGATGCAGATAAAGCTTTTGACTCATTCATGATAAAAACCCTACAGAAAATTGGAATAGATATTCTTTATGTCAATCTGATAAAGTCATATATGATAAACAGCCAACATCTTACTAAATGGACAAAAATTGAAAACCTTCAAACTAAAATCAGGAATAAGACAAGGATGTTCACCACTCCTATTCAATATAGTTTGGGAAACATTAGCCAGAGCAATTAGACAAGAAAGAAATAAAAAGAATAATGATAGGAAAGGAACAAGTTAAATTATCATTTGCAGATGATATGACATTATATATAGAAGACCTCCAAAACTCCATTGAAAATGTTTAGATACAATAATCAAATTCAGTAATGTAACTGGATACAAAGTCAACACTCAAAAATCAATAGCATTCCTATACATGAATGACAGACTCACTGATAGAGAAATTAGGGAAACCATATCCTTCATTAAAGCATCCAATAATATGAAATACTTAGGAATCAATCTAACAAAGAAGTAAAAGGTCTATACATTGAAAATTAAAGTATTCTGAAAAAAGAAATTGAAGAGGATTTCAGAAAATGAAAAGATATTCCTTGTTCATGGATAGGAAGAATAAACATTGTTAAAATGGCCATTCTCCCAAGATTATTTTACAGAACTAGAAGAGACCTAGAATAGCAAAGGCGTCTAGAACATATAAAGAATAAAAAAATCAGGCCCCCCCAAATCAAAGACCCAATCCAAAAATGGGCATCTGAGATGAATACACACTTCTTAGATGAAGAAATACAAATGGAAAATAAATACATGAAAAAATGTTCAGCATCATTGGTCATTAGAGAAATGCAAACTAAAACAACATTGAGATTCCATTTCACTGCAGGAAGAATGATCAGGACAAAGAAAACCAGCAATAACAAATGCTGGAGAGGCTGTGGGGAAAAAGGAACTCTTCTGCACTGT